CTTCCCTCACATAGCTAATCACCATTAAGTCACCATTATTGGTAGCTTACTAGTTAAACCCTGTAGATGTTTGAGGCAGAGGTGTGGTCTCTGGCTCCACTGCAGGGGAGGGGTGATGCAGCGGGCTCGAGGGGCAATGCTTTGCAGGCTGGCAGGGCAGCTGTGTACAATGTGGTAATCAACTAGGTTTGGGCGGTATAAACAGTACACAGTAGAAACGATATAAATCTAGCCAAAGATATAGATTTTGACTATACCGCTGTACCGCGATAGTGCATGTTTATGAGGTCATCAAGCTGTGCCTGTTTTGGTCGAAAGCATCGCAGCGGCTGCAAGCTAGCATGGAGCTTACACTGACCAGTGTGACGTCGGTGATATGGACCTGGTTTGGGTTTAAGCTGTCAGAAGTTGAGCAGAAAAATATCATCTGCAAATTATGCCAGGTGACAGAAATAGCGAAGAGAGGGAATACAAGTAATTGGTTTTATAACCTCAAAATGAAGCACGTTTTGGAATATGAGGAAAACCAAAAACTGCGCCGTCCACAAATGCCCAGTCATTCAAGTGGAAAGAAAAAAGGTGGCCCTACACACCAGCCAACTGATTTTTTCCAAGCCTTTTCTAAAGGCACATTTTACACTTTATTTTAAACAGTTTAGAATTTTCTGTTTTACCGATATTTTTTAATTCAAAACTCTTTGTGCATTTATCTTCATTTTTATTTGTTATTTAAGAGTTTTGTGTTACATTGATTGGAAAAAGATCTGTTACATCTTAAAAATTATTTGAAAAGTTTTGTAATTTTTAATATGTAAAAGATTAAGATTAAAAAAATTTAAGAAAGGTTTTGCACAATAAGTGTTCTTAAAATGGCATGCTATACTGTTCAGTCATTTTGACATATATATACAGAAGAAAAGAATATATCGCGATATATGTCATTACTGTGCATGCTTCAAATTATACCGCAATATGGATTTTAGGCCATATCGCCCAGCCCTACAATCAAGACACCCATGAAGTGCTTCTAGAGCAGTGGTTCTTAACCTGGGTTCGATCGAACCCTAGGGGTTCGGTGAGTCGGTCTCAGGGGTTCGGCAGAGCCTCCATTGTGACATGCACGGCTCATTTTGTGCACCAATAAAAAACATATCTATGTCTTGAATTTGAAAAAAATCATATTTTATTTTTCACTAAAGAGGGGTTCAGTGAATGTGCATATGAAACTGGTGGGGTTCGGTACCTCCAACAAGGTTAAGAACCACTGTTCTAGAGGCACATTAAGACCCTGCTGCCACCCACACTGGACTCCAGTTCACCAATCAACAGATGATGCCATTGCCACCACCCTACATCTGGGCTCTCATCCACCTGGATAATAAAGCCTGGAGAATAACCTTCTCTTAATCCGCTTGGATTCGAGGTGGCCTCTAAATAATATGTTAAACGTGCACTCTGTTTAAAATTTGCAATACATATGTTCACCTTTCCCCAGGCAATGAGTCGACAAAGGAGGAGGAGGAAGAAGAAGAGGAAGAAATGGTGGATCCCATTGAATCAGTGCGGCAGAAGTGTGCGGAGACAGAACACTGCATTCACACCTGGGAACGTCTGGAGCAATGTGAGACCAGAGTTGGCTCCCGGTCTTCAACGGAGGAGGACTGTGCCGAGGAGCTGTTTGACTTCCTACATGCTCGAGACCACTGTGTGGCACATAAATTGTTCCATTCTGTCAAATGAAGCTCTCAGTAATGGACTACTGGCTAATGGCATTCTTCACATATTGTATCGTAAGAAGAACTTTGAGTAAAATACATCCATTTGTGGATCTACTGTATGTTTTAACTTGAAGTGTATACATTATCTGCTCATGTAAAAAAGTATTTAACATGTCAGGGCTGGAAATCTTAACACTTCACGTGACTGGCTGTCACTTGGTGTTCGCTCGCTCTGTGGTATAGTATC